CACACACACACACACACACACACACACACACACACACACACACACACCAGGTCTAACGCTGCCGCTGGCTTCACTGGAGTCGATGCCAGCATGTATCCATGACAACGCACGCAACATCCTGACCACCAACTCTCCCAGTTTGTATATTCTGCATTGGCCAAAATCTGTTTGGACACTTCTATTTTATAACAACTGTACATGTAAATGTATAAGGCCTACATGTTTTGAATCTGCGCATATGGTTTTCAATATTGCTACTAGAAAATGTAATGTACTGAATTATTCTAAATTAAGTTTAACATTATTTGTATTATTCAAGCTAAACCATGTATTTCTTGCACGCACCGGCACACTCACTAAAGCATTCCATTGTGTGCTGCTCGGATGCCCCCGCAGGACCCGTCTTACCGAGGTAGCATCCTTGACTTTGAGAAACACACATGGCTACAATTTGAAATGGTCTCTGGTCCCAGTAGAAGTGTGCGTTACCTTTTCCCTGCCACACTTTGGAGGGCATCAAGGAGGTCTTGTCACAACTGAGCGAAGGCTGGATCCACCTCCACACCAGGAAGTCCGCTCCACCAATCCTCTGAGTCTCTTTTCTAATCCTGGACTCGTTGGCTGAGAGGAATCTCGCGGCCCGCTCCCAAACCTTCTTCATCTTCTTCCTGTAAAGTATTACAAACACATCTTCCTTACCTGGCAGATCCAAAGCTGCTGTCTTTTAACATCAACCAGACACAGATCACGTGCAGTCACAATGTAGCGTTTGGTGTGGTAGAATGGGCAGCACAATTCTACATGTCAGTTTGATAAATCAGGAAACGGGTTCAGTGAACCACGTACCAAACATGACAGGACTTCTTCTAACAGTCCAGATGTACGATTGGTAAAAAGCTCAAAAGTTATTATTGTTTTACCACAATTGTTTCTTTGTCATTTCCTGTTTGGCAGGTTTTCATTTCAGGCCCTGATATACATTTTTTTTCCACCCGTATGCAATTTACTATCTGGAATCAGATACCAAAGAATCAAGCTGTGGCAGTGTTGCTACTGACCGGTCCTGAGGCTGAACCAGGGAGTCTCTGACATGGGGGATGGGCAGGTAGGGTTGCAGGTCCTGGTTCTCCTGGCAGGCCTCACTGTGGCTCCTCAACACATCTGAACAGCGTTGGGAGGAAATGATTGAAACACATAAAATACAGACACAAACCTGCAAGTAAATGAGATTTAACATCTCTATGTGCGAGTACTTCTTTATTAACAACTTCTGTTGGTACCAACCATGTCATGTCTGAGAGGAGGCCAAGTAACGTTCCGCAGTTAGGCTTTCTGGGAGGGATAAACTGGACTAACTAGAGGCCCAGGGCATTTGTGGACGAGACGTTTCTACAGTGTTCCTAAAGGTCTTGGTGTTTTGGCATTTCTATCAAAATCTCAAGTGGTCAATAAAGCATCAAATATTCTCAACCAAAATTGCTGCAACAACTTATGAGACATAAGTGAGCATGAGAATGGCCTCATAGACAGCCAACACATTGATTACTGCAGATTAATGACTAGATACATTTACCCACAGTGCTGATCTGCATCTCAAATTTACCTCCAGCTTCCCAACTTTCAGATGATGTATACCACTGCTATGTGGCATATACTGCTGACTTGCTACCTCCCCCTAAAGACCCCCTGCCCCACCTGAAAAAGAGAACAATGGGTCTATGGTAAAGAGGGTCCGCTTGTTTTCAAAGCCAGCAGCTTGCCCAGTCGTTATGATAAAATATATTTTGGGACCATCTTGGTTCCCATGAAGCGATTGCTATTTCTTAATCTCCGAGTGTGGGAGTAAACACATTCTCTTGCTCCAGTCGTTCCTTACCGATGATCCTCTCCACCATGTCGTACATCTGCCTGGTCTCCTCTTCCTCTCTCCTCCAGCGATACTTGGCATAGCAGACCACGCTCCACACACAGCCCGCCACTGCACACAGACATACACACACATACTGAGGACTACTTCTACTGCTGCAAGGAGCCAAATAATAGAATCACTAATGCTTCTACTGGATTCTAACAGGCCTTTGGACAACAATGGGTTTCAGAGTGCAGTGGTGCCGTTGATGTATGAAAGGCCCACGAGGAAGCTTATCTTAAGCAAGTCCCTTAATCAACACTGTTGATTTATACATCAAGCACACTGCATAAACACATGCATCTCTTTCCTTAGAACACCTACATTTGTAGGACTTCAAAATGTGTGGCTTTTGTGACTCCAAGTGCTATTATGGACGGATGGATGTGAACAGTTCACCCCTCAAAGTGTGAAATAAAGTTTTACTGCCGATCGTTATCGGCCCATCTTCAGTAGAAATATGTGATCTAGTCGCCAACCCCTGATAGTGCTACATTGTGAACAACTCTGTGTTGAAATGGTGCATGAATCAGTTAACCCTTTGCCCCACAGGCTATGCTAAGCTAGCTACTGACGGTATACCGAAACTCTATACATGCTGCTTTTGCTTTTTGATGACTGTAGCAGTGAACAAAGACTTACCCGGCTATACAGGAACATTGCTGTTCCTTAATTGATGTGGTGGTTCACTTTCACACTGATCAGTAGCTTTAGCTCGTCTTTATCTAGTTAACCTGTTTTCATCCTGATAGATCCTTTAAACTCATACTGTAGACCCTCATACTGTGTCTGCTTCTCTCTGAAATCGCTTTATACTTTTTCCAAGAATGAAATAATATCTATTATGGGAGTGCAGTTAGTGACAGTGTGGGCTCCATGATAACGTAGCTCTGTCAAGGGTCACTTTACTTTGAGAACACACTAATTAGCAGTGATCTAACACTTCACATGGTTTAGGCCTGCTGTTTGTGTGGTGTGGCGTTTCTTACCGACTGCAATGAGGAAGACTCTGCTGATGACGGTGAGGAAGGCTCGGCGGAAGCGGCATGTGAAGGGCATCTTGGGATGCGTGGACTCCAGACGAAAGATCTCGGACACATCGGTCAGCGGATCGTCGGCTAACTGCCCAGTCAGCCTACGCACGGACAAAAACACATACACAGAGTGAGTAAGGATGTCACATGCAAGGCTTGTCATCAGCATGAATATGTATATCCTGTGTTACCTTATCCCAACATCCTGGCCCGTCCGGATGATCCACTCCAGAGCAGTTTCAATGAAGCCTTGAAACTCCTGATTCTGAGTCTGAACAAAAGACACATGGTACTGATGAGAGGAACAGTACCAATCAGTTTCCCAGAGATCCCACTCCTGCTTTATCAGTACTACTGTTCAGTAACGCTCCATACACCGGGTGTTATCTTGATCTCTGCTTTCACTGACTCCAGTTTGCTCCATCCTAAATGTGGTGACGGCTGCTACAGACCATAAGCAGAGGCAAACTGGTGCCTATACGTTCTAGACAGCCGTTAGATGCGGTGACATCCACTCCAGTTGATAACGTTCCTGCTTGAACAAGTTATTTTTAAATGCGCCGATCAACAGGGTCAAACGTCAGCTGATTGGCAATGACCGTCGACCGGCTGATCCGGGTCATACACCGGATTTAGTTTTGCTGGTCAAGTTTACGAACACTATGAGGGAACGTCGCGCGCACAGTCAGGTCACGGCCACACAGTGTTTTGTTATAAACACATCATTTCATTAGAATTTTCCATGAAAAAAGGTTATAAAAATGTTTATGTACGCTGTCATTTAGTTCTTAAAAAGAAAGAAACGGGACTTGGCAGATCAGATATCTGAAAAGCGGAATAGGCCAAGAGAATGGAGCATCTCTAAATCATCTCTTTGTTGGTCTATGACGTAATCTGTATTTTTGTCTGTTGCGTAACGGTTTGCCTCGACTTGGTTGACTTGTCTAACACTTATAAAAAGAAAGGAAACAAACTGGCAAAGACACGGCGGTTCCTTTGATTCCTGGGAGGAAAGTGAGAAGTTAGCTTCATCGTTGTATGTGAACGCAGGAGGGTGTGACGTCTGGCAGCATCAGCACATGGACCCACACTAACACCGCTGTGTAGTCGCAGACACAGGATCGTAAAACAGAGAAGAGCTCACTTTGGTGACAGGTTTGTTCCGTCTGCCAGAGCAGCCCTGAACAAACTGCTACATCCTGCCTGATAGCTACTGCACATGTGCAAACTAATACTACACACCTGTGCTTTAACACTCTTGTGCACCGGATTATTTCTATGATAATGCTACATTGCGAACAACAAATCTGTGTTGAAACTAGCAAGATGGCTAGTTAGCGTTAGCTGTTAGCAGCACAGTCCTGCTTGGCTAAATGATTGGAGCTAACAGCTAATGTAGCATTGAGTTACATTACAATGCGTTGAAGCTCTATTCAGTAATAATAGTATTGGGAGAAGGTAAATCATAACTTTATCATGTGTTGAACTGTAATCTTGTAAAATGTAGTTTTTGGTGATAAACTTCAATAAATACAGTCGTTTGAAAGAATGTTTTCACAGCAACATAAGATAGATATTAGAGATGGAGTTATGAGATGTTTAACTTCCTAACACTAGTTCAAAGCAGCTTATAATACATCATTAGAACTGCTCATCAGCCTCACTACTGTCATCAGAACCCGCCTCAGGGTGAGTGATGTTATGTGTGGACGTACCAGCAGATACGCAGAGGCCTCTTTCATGGACAGACTCCTGTTGGGATGCCACTGGTCTCCACAGTCGTGCTGGCCTGTAATCACAACATCAAGCCATCAACGCTTGTATCAACACGATACGTCTTCACAGTCGTATAGTACTCCTTTAGTACTCCTGTTCACTGGGCGGTATGACCTACACGTTACATCACAGCAGACTTTAAATACACTGTAATGGATCATTTCAAGAGGATGTGATTTGAACAAAGTACTCTGGATTAAGAATTCATTAAGATATCATCTCTTGGGGATCAGTCAATTGCCCAATTATTCTTCCATTACAGCATTAAAAGCTGCTTGCAACGGCTCTGTCTTACTGAGGACCTCTCTTTCCCATTTCACAATGTATCATCCTTCCTTAATCTGTAGTATAGAAAGTGAAAATGTGTCTTTTAATGTCACTGTCTGGAAGTATGAAGGCAAATCAATGTCGAAATCCGTGAGCACAAATGAGATCCCGCATGTGTGTAGAGGTCCCACGCGTGCAAATCAAAAAGGAGCTGGTGCTCGACTACCATCACTGCTCTTCTGCTCGCGGAGCTTTCACCTGCTCGCTCACCAGTACTCTCTTTCTGACAGTAAGTGGGCGGACCCAGTCACCATTGTATCCCTAGATTTAACTGGTTACAATCTTCGTCTTTGGAATGGCCAGAAATCACTCCGACACTGTCGCTATAGAGGTGGTTTGCAGATTGCACTACATCTCAGAGGTAAATATCTTACTCTCTACTACACTACATCTAAAAAGGTAAATATTTTACTCTACTACACTACATCTAAAAAGGTAAATATTGTACTCTACTACACCACATCTTAGAAGTAAATATTGTACTCTACTACACTACATCTTAGAAGTAAATATTGTACATCTTAGAAGTAAATATTGTACTCTACTACACTACATCTAAAAAGGTAAATATTGTACTATTTACTACATCTCAGAGGTAAATATCTTACTCTCTACTACACGGAGTGATGCAAGAGCGCTCGCAAAAGTAATATAAGTGTGCGGCTGTTTGACCTCAACACAGACGCGTGGATCTCATTTGTGCTCGTGGATTTTGACATTGATTTGCTTTCATATCAGGAAACAGGTTTCATACATTTTTAACCCATATTTGCTAAATGACACTGGAAACTGTGCCGCTCATATTCGCTACATGGCCCTAATAATAATAATAATAATAATAATAATAATGTCTTGTTCCGTCCCACTGTTCTACGGTCAGTCAGTCAGTCACAGAGCGTAGTGCAGAGTTCATAGCTACCTGCGACGCTGGCCAGGTGGTCATGCAGATTGAGCAGCAGCTTTAGGATCAGGTCCTTCGTCGCCTTGTCCTGCAGACAATAAATACTCAGTGGACACACACTACAAACAGAACTGCTGCTATTTAGTTCATCTGTAGAGCTTTCGGATGGCAAAAAAAAAAAAGATTCACACTGAAAACCGGAATGGAAGCAAAATATTAGAATCTAGTGGCCCGGATCCAAATACGAGTCCAACTAACAGAGTATCTGCAGACACAGAGTTCTATCCTCTACATGCGTTTACTTAAATGTAGATAAGGTATGTATCAAAAAGGGTGACACTAAATTTGACACACCTTCTCTAGTTGATCCAAATACTGAAGACCCTGGCACTGAACTCATAAGATGACATTATAATGCGACCCGATCAGCCTTGTTGAACTACAGAAGCATCCAGTCGTGGTCGGACAGGTTTTACGGGTTGGATCGTCCATCACAAATGGTCTTAGGCTGAGTACAGACGCCAGCTGCAGAGAGCATTTAAACCAGACAGCAGACTTGTTCAAGGCCAATAATCAAGTTAGTCCAAAATGAACATGAGTTAGTGACAGCTGATGTGACTTTAACTGGTGAAAGTGACGGTCAGTGGTGGCGAAAAAATGAGCTTCTGCTACCGCTAATGACAATAGAGTGCTGAATAGGCATGCCCATCTGCTATCGGTGCTTTAGAAGTTAGGGAGTGAGATCTCTACGGGAAAAAAAAAAATCAGCGTTGCAAACCTCCTCTCTCCGACTCTTTACTCCGGCTGAGTACAGCGGGAGACACACATCATGGCAGAGAGAAGAAGATCCAGAGTGTGGCTACACACCTGCAGTTTATCACAACATTTGACCAACAAGTGATACGATACCCATACCTTCTCAAGAGTCACCCACATAATGCACTGAAGAGGCTGAGGTGGACAAAACACAGCCGAGCAAAGGAAGGATGGGATTCTGATCCGCTTTACTTTGCATTAAAACATGGCCAGATCTGCTCTGGACATCTCTCCAATTAGACCTATCTATCGATTAGTGAACGCATGAAATGAATTTAGAACCTAGTGAGTCTCATCATATTGGACCAAAACAACATTGCCGTACAAAGAACTAACAGAAGGGTTCAGGAAATATCTACTTACGTAAGAGTCAAAGTCGCTGCCAAAAGGGTGGCTCTTTACTGCAACAGAGGAGAGAGAGAGACACATTGAGGGAGACAGACAGGCAGCATGCTCACTAGAAACACACCACACATGTAAGAGGCACCAGCTGGATGAGGAGAGGGAAAACTCCGTCTTTTACATCAAGACGGTGCATTTGGAGACTGTGGAATGTGAGTGTAGTTCAGACATCACTTAACGGGTGAGTCAGAGTCTGTACATGAGACTCACCCACACCAGCGAGGCACTTGGAGCTCTGCCATCTCACTGCACTGGCCGTAACCACAGTCACTAAATTCATTCTTCACTGAATTGTATATACATACATACTGTATGGAGTAAGGAGGTAGATACTTTTCTCTAGGTAAAGATATCTTCATGGAGCATAATGCTGACTGTTTATACATTAAAATAGGAAATGTACACATTGAGATCTAGAAAACATGTTAAATGCGTTTCCTTCCATTTCAAACACATTTTCTAAAAAGTATAAACCTGCGTTCCTGGTTTATGTCCATGTTTGTTTTCTAATCGGGTTCTTTCCTGCTTTCACTGGCACATCTTTTGGGATCTGTGACGCTATTCAGAATCGTAAAAGATCCTTTTCTAACCTTAACTTTAATTTAGAATTATGTGAGCATTATTACGGTTGATTGACATTATTATTCCTTTGTTTTTTTTTGTCGATAAGGGTTTGCTTTATGGGCAATCTTCTGAGCGAAGTCTGGCATGCCTCCTCAGCTGACTCTCTGACCCTGGTGTGTGCCCTTGTGCCCTTGGCACTCGCAGACTTCCTGGGAACGCACCCGGAAGTCTGGACATTTGTACTCATCCATGCATCGTGGAGGACGGGTGAAAGTTTGGACCAGCTAAGGGCCACTGCATGGAGACTGCTGAGAAAAGTAATTTGCCTGATCACAAACGCATCAGAAACAACACCGTCTACTGTGTTTGGGGCCGGGATCTGTGCCAACATTTTCTTAAAGATGGAGTGCAGAACTTTTGTTTGGCATTAGGAGTAATTGAATATAGTATTATTAATATCTGATTTAAACTATACAAACACTGTCGACGGGCGTAGGATTTTTGCCTGTAGGTGAGCTCACATCTCCCTCAGAGGCCATCTTTAGCCGCCGATTGCTTTCTTTTTGGGACTAATCCTTCCTCTGAACGCCGAGTTTCTTTTTAATCCAGACATTTTCTTAGACGCTGTAGTTTCTGCAATCCTCCTACCTGCATCTGATGTCATGGTATTGGGTAATTTGGGTAGACTGACCTACCATGTAACCATGGATAGGCAGCACGACTGTTCTTCTGGTGTTCTCAGCACAGGAATGTCACCACAAACACCAGACACCACAGCTCGGTGTACGTAGAAATACAGAGAGCTTTACCTGGTAGGCTTGATCAGTATTGTCTGAACTGGTTTGGCAAGGGATTGAATGTAACGGCCTTTCATTTATGTGGAAAAGTCCCGCGCTACAGCTTGAAAGACGGATGGATGAAGTTACTGTCAGATAGCAGTCTATTACAAAGCAAATCCAGCAATCGCATCCGCATGAGGGATGAATTCAAAACAGGACTGTGCACACTGATCTGTCCTGCAGGTTTGCGTTAGTTGACAAGATATAGTCACACTGGTTACAAGAGGTTGAAGCCATGAGGTAAGGTGAACAGTGGTCATGTGCTCAGTGTCCCTAGAATATAGCTGGTTAGATAGCACCACCAGCCAGCCAGCCAGCCAGCTATCTGTAGGGCATACATATATATATATACATATGTATATATATGTGTGTATATACATACATATGTATATATGTGTATGTATATATGTACATATATATACGTATATACATATATATACGTATATACATATATATACGTATATACATATATATACGTATATACATATATACATATATATACGTATATACATATATATACGTATATACATATATACATATATATACGTATATACATATATATA